CAGCTGGCAGCCCCACTGGAGCTCAGCAGGTGTGAGCCTGGCCAGTACCTGGATGGGAGACTCCTGGGAAAGCTGAGGCTGCTGCTGGAAGAGGTGTTAGTGGGGCCAGTAGGGGGTGCTCACCCTGCAGTCTGTGTGGGTCCTGATGCCCCAGTATAGTGACGGGGACACTATACTGTAATAAGACTCCGTCCTTCTGATGAGATGTTAAACTGAGGTCCTGACTCTCTGTGGTCATTAAAAATCCCAGGATGTTTCTCGAAAAGAGTAGAAGTGTTTCCCCAGTGTCCTGGCCAAATTTCCCCCTGGCCTTTACCAGTCATGGCCTCCTAATAATCCCCATCTCTGAACTGGCTTCATCACTCTTCCCGATTTCAGAACGAGATCTACTGGGACGACTGGTCCAGGATGGGCATCTTCAGAGCCCCTAAGACTGGCTCCATGAACAGCGAGCAGCTCGTGGGGCGCCTGACTGGAGTCATGGACCTCAAGATCTTCTACAAGGGCAAGACCCGAGGTGTGTCCCGGGCTCGCTGCCGCCACCACTCTGCGTGTGGGTACAGGTGGCCCTTGCAGAGCTCTGTTTTGGCAGGCGAGATGCCATCTGATTAGGTTCAGCGAACAGTTATAAAGAATAGTCCTCACTTATTTGAGCCAAAGGCTTTGGGTTTGCTGCTGTCACAGGGAATTAAGGCACTGACTTAAAATGACTTTGTTTTTGATAGTGTTGTAACAGAGTTCTTGCTCCTGGTTGAGAGTGGAAACAGATAGGCTTTATCGTATACATACAAGGAACACCTCAATAGTAAGAATGTTCAGAGAATGCAAAGCAAGCAGTTACCTTTCTACAACTTGGTAACGTCAAGATTTCCATGGTTACAAAGAATTTGACGGGGTGTATGGTTAAGATCATGTTCAGAACAATTCAGCTATGAAGAGAAGTTGTAGTTGGCCGTCTGGCCAGAATTCCAGAGATCACGGTGCCTCCCCTCCCTTACAGCCTTGAGATAAGCTCAAGTTTCTGAGAGAAACAAAATTCCACAGGATTAACAAGGAGTTTCGTCGATAGGTAGGACAGAATGGAAGGTGCACAGGAGTACAGTCTCTTAAAAAGATGTGCAGGCGATCTTAGTAAAGATGTGCATCAGCTGTTGGATCTTCATCAGCCACCCATGACCATCAAGATGGTTTATGAGATAGGAAGCAGAAGATCAGAAGTCCTGGGGCTCTGAGAAGACTGGGTTTTGGGGCTGCCTGTTTGAGTATGCGAGTTCCTCACCCCCCCCCAGGACACAACGCCTGCGCTGACCAGCCCTGCAGCCTGCTGTGCCTGCCCCAGCCTGGCCATCGCCATACCTGCGTCTGCCCCGAGGGGGTGGTCTCCGCCAACGTGACCTCCGGGCAGCAGTGCCAGTGTCCCTCCGGTTACCACATGCAGAACCACACCTGCGTCAAGGCAGGTGAGGGGGAGAGGACGCTGGACAGTTGGACAGGACAGTGAGGCGGCGAGAGAAGACGTGCAGGTCTTCTCTTAGCCCTTTCGTGGACGATTTCGAGCTGCAGAGCTGCAGGCTGTTTTCCCAACACTCTTCTCCTGGCTCCTCCGCAGAGCACTCCTGCCTGCCCAGCCAGTACCGCTGCTCCAACGGGAACTGCATCAGCAGTATCTGGCAGTGCGACAGCGACAACGACTGCGGGGACATGAGCGACGAGCAGGGGTGTCGTGAGTATTCCTGCTTCTCCCCCTGTCTGCCCGGCTCCTGTCCTCCAGCTCCCCGTCTGCTCCTGTTCTCCAGCTCCTCCTCTCTCCCCCTGTCTGCCTGGCTCCTGTCCTCCAGCTCCGCCTGTCTGCCCAACTCCTGTCCTCCAGCTCCTCCTCTCTCCCCCTGTCTGCCCAGCTCCTGTCCTCTGTCTCTCCCTGTCTCTCTCTCTCCGGCTCATCTCGGGGCGCAGCAGTATCTGCTCGGCCCAGCCTTATGATCTGAGCTCTCTCTCTGCCCAGCCACCACATCCTGCGACCCCGACGTGCAGTTCCGCTGCGTCTCCTCGGGCTCCTGTATCCCCCTGGCGTTCAAGTGTGACCACGAGGACGACTGCGGGGACAACAGCGATGAAAACGACTGCGGTGAGTCGGCGGGGAGGCCCCGGGCGTCTCTTCGCCCTCTGTCGTTCGCCTCGCTCTCTCCCCTTGGGGTGTGAAGTCCGATGGGCGGGGTGGTCTTGGTGGGGTTCACGGAGGTGATGTTGTGGTGGGGCCCTGGGCACCTCTGAGGGCCAGATCTGCAAGGCTAGGACCGGTGCCAGGCTCACTGTGCCACAAGGACAGCCCCCGGAGAATCCTGGGCAGTCGCCTGACAGCCAGAGACGGGCTCCGTGGGCGGGACACCGATCGCACGTCCTGCGATGGCAGCCCAGGGCCTTGCGCGGCACCTGTCTCACTGGCCTCTCTGCGTCTTCTCCTCCAGAGAGCCACCAGTGCCGCGAGGACGAGTTCAAGTGCGCGCGAGGCGTCTGCATCCACGCGACCTGGCGCTGCGACGGCGACAACGACTGCCGGGACTGGTCCGACGAGGCCAACTGCACCAGTGAGACCCGGGGGGTGGGGGGGGCACACTCTGAGGGGCCTGCTTAAATTCTGAGACGAACGTGAAAGGTCCACTCCTGGCGCTGGAGTGTCGAGCCGAGCCCATCGAGTAGGGTTGAAAGTGTTTACAGTTGAAACGCCGGGGTTGAACCGGCACTGTCTTGGGCCCTGTTGGTGTGGACTCTGTGTGGGCTGAGCGTGTCCCTCTGGTCCCTCCCCAGCCGGGCACCACACCTGTGAGGCAGACAGTTTCCAGTGCCGCACGGGCCACTGCATCCCACAGCGCTGGGTGTGCGACGGGGACGACGACTGTCAGGA